CTTTTAAGATAAAGAACAACTATAGAGCCATTGTCTGTCAGCAGCTGAATATTTCAAAGAGCAAAGATAAAGGCTGATGATCTGAGACCTCAGACCTGAATGAGAATCCAGCCTCTGGTTGGTGGTTTATTGCAGATCATTTCTGCCTTTCTGTTCTCTTCCTTGTCCCCTTTCTTCCTTTCTTATACCCCTTACATCTGCATGCTTCTGTCCTTCCTTTCTGGCTTCATTCTTCTGTGTTTCCTCCTCTTCTAATCTACATCTTTTCTACTTTCACTCACATTCTTCTCTTCTACCCTTTCTTGCTCTCCTTAACTGTTCATTTATAGAATTATAGCATTTTTAAGAACATGTTTGTTGTAAAGACTTAAACATAAGATAACATATTGGCACTGGATGTACTATAACTTCAAATGTATGGAAATACATTTTTGATACAGAAACATGCATATACTACACTTAAATGTTTAAAAAAAATCTACAAAACAGCATCTATATATAGTAAAATCCCATTTTTGAAAATAACTATTTATATAGATGTAGGATGTTATAAAATAAGTTAACAGGATTTATCTTTGGGTGGTAACAAGATTATGTTGTTTTATATTATTCTTTTACTTTTTCTTGATTTTTAAGATGTTTCCTTGTTTGGTATGCATGGCTTGCCAAATGAAATGTTTTTACAAAGGAGCTTCCAATGTTATTTATTGCCTTTATTGAATGAATTTCGGGCAAGACAAAGTATGCAGTTAAATTGTACTGAAAGGAGACAATTATATTAAAATTAGAATTTAAAGTAAATAATAGGTAAAGTGACTTTTCAACCAGTTCAAAGATTAAAAAAACAAGAAAGAATCCTTCCATGCTTGCATGCAAAAAGGACCTTGCCTTGAGGTGGCTGCCACATCCAGGAAGAGGCTTCCTCTCTCTTCCAGGCTCACACTGGCTCCGCAGGGCCTCAGGCCCGCCAGGCCCAGCAGCGTCAGCCCAGGTGGAACTTGGGTGCCGTAAATATACTCGTGCTTTCAATGTCTTCGTGAGGACAAAACAGTTAAATAAATTTAAAAAAAAAAATATATATATATATATATTGTTTTTAAAAAGTAAAATAAATTGCCTTTCATTTACTTGTGGCCCTTGATTGCAACCTTACTTTCAGTCCTCCCCACTACCCTGAAATCCAAGCCCCGCAGACGGAGGGAAACAGCGCAGGCGATAAGCATGAGGAGGCTGCCCCCGTGTGGTCCCCTAGAAGGCTGAGCCACTGCCGGCCTAGTTGCACTCATTACAACACAGCTGGTTCTCATTAGACTTGCTTCAGACTGTAGACCACAGACTGAATACAAATCCTACTCATGTGTTAGAGCAGGACTGAGGTCTTATACAATCATTTTTTATGACTTTTTTTTTAACGGAAAGGGTCATTTGAGTTAGGCATGCAGCCCATTTCCGGCAGTTCTACCATCAACCTTATTCTGAATGATCTACTGTCTTCAATCCCTGGAAATTCATAGTGAGCCTTACTGTGTGTGTTTGCTGCGTTCTGAGACTTTTCCCAGATGTCCAGGAAAATGACAGTCACACAGAAGGCTCTCTGTGCATTAGACTAACAAGGAAAATACTATGAAGATTCTTAGAATTTCATAGTGTGCAAAAAATCTTATCTGGATGCTCTATTGAGACAGACACACAGAGGCGCGCACACGCACACACACACACAGAGTTCACCTATTCATTCGCTTTTCTAATAGTTGAAGAAAAGACATGGTGGCCTTCAAATTGCCTATGGCATTTTGTCAGATGTACAGATGGCTCTTTGGTCAAAAAATCAACATCGAAATTACTAAAAATATTTCAATTCTATTTCAGTGCAGGTTCCTCAGATATAAGAAGCACTATACATACCAGGTACCTACCAACACCTGAGAGTTACAGCTTCTGGGAACAAAAAACTTTAAAGAAGTGAGTTAATCCTTCAAAGCACCTCAGTAGCTGATTAATTCTCTCCTTCTAATTCACTTCCGGGGACTGTGTGTCCTCACCTGCCCATCATTCTCATACTCACGCTTCACCGGACCTTCTCTCTCTAAATCTCCCTTGATGCCATGTTTCTAATTCTCTCGGATGTCTGGCCTCTTCAATCAGTCATCTTTCTCTTACTTTTATTTCCTTCTGCAATTTCCCCTTAGCCTATAAATTAACTAAACCTCCCTCATTCTTAAAAAATACAATAAAATGATACAGATTAATAAAACTAGTTTTGCTCAGTTGTATGTTTCCCTGAAGCCATTTTCCTAGTCTTCTTTCTTCTGTCCTCTACAAACCTCTGAAAGGAATAATTTACATGTCGGCCTTTCTGTGATTTTGATGATAGGACGGACTCAGACACGAGAACTCAGTTGGGTACATATATTAAGATGTCATCCACGGTGAGGCATATTTTAAGTAATCAAAGTGAAAAGGCCATCCAGGGAATGACTATGGTTTGAGAACAAATGAAGGCTAAGGGCTAAAGATTAAGAAATGCCTGAATGTAAGGGATGGACACATTGAGAAGCAGCCAGAAATGATTGGTGGAGAGGGGTCAAAAGAGTGAGGAGCTGAGAGAGTTCAGTGGCATTGAGAACCAGCAGCAGTGGTACAAACAACAGCAAACAGCAATAAACATAGTGCCTGTGCTTAGACTGACCAGCCGTTTTGTGCTAACCCCTCTTTTGGATATTTGTGTGTTTTTCATTTCATTCTCACAGCAATCATCATTATATGTGTGTGTATCTATCTATCTATCTATCTATCTATCTATCTATCTATCTATATATATATTTGTTTTATTTAAAGCTGTGTCTTTTTCTCCCTTCCTCTCTTGATAAATGCCCAAGAACTCTCAGGATGAAAACTTTCTTCAAAAAGGCCTCTCTTCCTTTTGGTTTCATTGTATTTCAGCAACGTGTTGATTTCCAGATGCACCACTCTGTATCCTCATCTTCATTTGTATTACAAATCAAGCTTCCAAAAGATTACAGGTCCTGTAGATATCTTACCTATGTAATTCAACACCCTGTCTTCAGAGATAGCCTTCTTAAAAATCATTCTGATATAACCTTGTCTTATTAATCTTTAATTTTGGAGGGAAAAAATAAGTGTATTAGCTTTCTATTGTTCTAATAAATTCTACAAACTTAATGGCTTAGCTAATGCAGATTTGTTATCTTACAGCTCTGAAGAGCTGAAGTCTGAAATGGGGCTCACTTAGGTAAAATCAGCATGTCTATATTCCTCTGGTGGGTTTAGAGTTGAATCTAATTCCTTGCCTTTCCCAGGTTCTATAGGCTGATGGAACTTTTTGGCCTGTGAGCCCTTTCTCTGTTCCAGGCCAGCAGCATCAGGTTGAGTCCTCAGGCTGACACTTCGTTTCGCCTGCCAATGGTAAGGACCCTAGTGATTACATCAGGCCCAGTATAACCAGGATAATCACCTCATCTCAAGTTCAGCTGATTAACAACCTTAATTTCATCAGTAATATTCATATCTCCTTGCCATGTAACCTAACACAGTCACAAGTTCTGTGCATTACATGTGGACATTTTTAGAGGGCCGCTATTCTGCCTACCACATGGTTAGGGAAGACTCACTAGAATAGTACTATAAACTCTCATAATCCCTTCACCTTCCTGACTTTTCCTTCCATTTATATTTATCTATATTTCATGTGCAGATAGAAATGTATGCATATGATATGTAAAGATAGATATATATGTATCATATCTACACATATATGCACATTATATAGGTATATTCTTTATGAAATGCTTGAAAGTACATGGCAGACATTATGACACTTATACTTTATATGTCAGAATGTAGCTTTTGATGTCCTCATTCACTTATCACCACAGTGCAATCAGCAGACTGCATAGTGAATTAACAGTAATACTCTTATCTAATATTCACATTACGTCAGTTGTTCCAAAAATGCCCTTCACAGAAAAAAGAAAAAAATCCAAAGTAGGATTACTCATTGCTGAAGTTTTTAAAGAGTACAGGATGGTTATTTTACAAAATGTACCTCAACCTGGGTTTTCCAAAATTTTTTTCTTCATGATTAGACTCAACGGATGCATTTTGGCAGTAACACTACGTAAGTGATGTGTCATCTCAGTGTACTACAGCAGGAGGCACATAACAGATTGTTCTGTCACTGGTGATTTAACTTCATACTTGACTAGTGGTATTTTTCAGATTTCTTACAGTGCCACTTCACCTTCATAGTAATTGCTAGTCTGTGGGAGATAGTGTGAGACCACAGATATACTAATCCCCATCCCATTAGCCATTCACCTGATGGTTTTAGCATCCATTGCTAACTCTTACCTGAATCAGCTATTAGTAAAAACTACTACAATATTGGGATTTGTTGAAAACCATATCATTCTTTCTACATGTATTAAATGGCATTTAATTTTGAGGATTACATCAATCTTCAACTCACAAATCTCCAGTGACTACTCATGGCCTACAGAACAAACTCCTAACAATATCATGAGAACAGGGGACTGCAGAGCCATAGGATGTGAATTTCCATCTAATACAAGTCCTCCTCTAAAGAGATTCTAGCTGACCTGTCCGTTGTTCTGTGCTTGTTCTAATTGTACCTTGGCCCATGTGATAGGAAGAAGGGTCTTCACAGAGGAAGAGTTAGCCTGACCACTTACCAAGCTGGCCCACTTGGTCAGGCACAGGAAGTGTGCCTATGCTACTTGTAGGGAAGGGGAATGGTGGCGTGCATGCAGATTATACAGCTGACTTATCTGTAAATGAGGCACTAAGGGCATATGAATCTCGGAAAGCTCAGACTAACTTTTCAAACATCTGAGAAAGAATATGAGTCTTGTATATGAAAAGAAAACCCAAGTTCATTACCATCAACAAATATTTCCCCATGACCTTGTTCAATCACAGTTTAGAGTAACTAATCACAGGCCATAGAATTTTCATCGATACTGTGTTGGAGATCTGATTTTATTGCAAATTTGATTCAGTTTTATCATCATGAAATGTTTACTGGACAAATGATTAAGGAATTTCTGGGGCATTTCAGGCCTTCTATTTACTGATTCTAAAACTGAACACTGGATTATGTTGTGAGTGACCAAGGTTCAGTAAATTCTACTAATTTTTTACTAATTCTCAATGCTGTGCTTAGTTACATGACTAAGAGAATGGTACCATAATATGCTTGCCATCGATGTACACATAATTCAGTTGGAGAAAGTGGGGGAGAAAAGTTGAAACAATTAGCACATTTGATGGGGAACAAGCTCTGAGATTCAGGACCTTTGTGAAGCAATCATGGCTTAACTGAGTCTTAAAAAGAGGATTGGATTTGAACTGGAGGAAAGGAGAGGGCCTGTAATTCAGTTAGTGGAACTTGCATGAACATGTGGTAAGTAGGAATGAAGATGGGGCTGCTGTGGAAAAATTAGAATGGACAAGGAGGGTTCATGTGGGCGACAGACAAAGGAACAATTTGTAACAGAAGATGGGGCTAGCCAATGAGAGTTGTTGGAGTGTAGCCTATTTTAAGAGAAATTACAGTGTGGACTGCAGGGTGGATTAGAATGGAGGGAAATATAAGGTAGGGAAATTGCTTAATAGGAGCTGTGAAATGCTTTGTAAACTAGAATTCATGATTCATAGGCCTGTAAATGTGGAGGAGAACCAGAAACAGAATAAAGGAATGTGAAAGGCAAAGCAAGTTTAAGAGATTTTAGAGTAAGAATCAAAGTTCTTTGAAGATACCCTCAGACTGACAGCTAAACTCCACATCCAGTCTCTGCCTGGCAGCCAGTGAGCACACACAGTAACAACAAAAGCAAAAAAAAGTGATATGAGGATATGAGATGATTATTCAGTTAATTCCCAATTTAAAGAGCTTCAAAATGACTATCTATTATTACAGGAGTCTTAGAAATGACTTGTAGAGAGCAATAGAATATGATAAATTAGCCTGGGTTAAAAGACAGCAAAAAAAAATACAGAAAAAAAAGTTCACAAAAGACTGGATACAAGATGCCACCATAAATAAGGCTAAATCATTCAAACTATGAAGAGCCACACATTTAAAATGTGTGTAAACCAGAAATTTGGCCTTAAACTTTCTGGCAGTTAATATCAAAAGGGAAAAGTCTGGCAATTAAACAAACTAGTATCATCAGATAAAATCGTATGGATTACTAGACAGAATTTTAAGTAATCTTAGTTCTAAATTTAGTAAGCTTATCTCCCATTATATGCATTTCAGATGAAAGTTATTTTTCTCTGCAACAGAAGTCTCTCTCTTGTTTCTCTCTCTCTTTTTCCTCTGCATCCCCAACCCTCTACACACACACACACACACACACACACACACACACACACACATGTTCTCTACACACAGATACACAGGAAAAAGTACTAGAGCTCATAGTAATTAATGAACAGCTAATGTCTAACTTTGGCCATTTCAGCTAGTATTGATAGATAATTCAACACTCTTCCTCCTCACACGCACCCAAAACAGCCCAGAAAATATTCCCTTGAGATACAAATATAGAATTGATTGTTGTAATCTTATGCCTTCTAACGGATTTGATAAAATTAGGGACTTCCTGGTAAACAGTATGGGTAGGAGAGAAGTGAAAGAAAAGAAAAATGGGATTTTTGTTTTAGATTTTTCCTATGATCTGAAAACTTATAAGCCAACGTTTGACCTTGATTGTAATAGGGCTACACTATGAAATATAATTGAATCTGTTCCAAGAAGTTATCTAAATTTGGCAGGCAGATAATTTTGCATACTGAAGGAAAGATTAGGAAACTCATGCAAGTCAAATGTGAAGGAGATCAAGCACCAGTTGAAATGACATTTAGAATCAAGAACACAATGTTATTTGTAGCAAAGTACAATGGACTGCTTACTTAGAGACTGTGGTCTTAGAAGAGTGAAGCATTTATGTGCAAACCATGCCAAAGAGAGCTCCCCAATGAGAAAGAGCTCATTAAAGCATAATGTTCCTGCTCTATATTTCTGTCATAATAACCAGGTACTTCACAACAAGGCTTTGGTGGATTCCTGCTTTTATGGGTAAAGTCACTAGGAGAATCTTGGCATGTTTTATTTTTGTTACATCCCAGTCACCAAGCCCAAATAACTCTGTCTGTCAGGTCAGAAAAAGTGAAATTAAAGCTTATACAATAGAAAGTGTTTTACTTCAGCAAGCGGGAGTTTTATGGAGGTTACTCAGTGATATCCTTACGAGCAAAAAAGGGGGCAGAAAAAAATAATCTTGATTAGCGTTTGAAATTGAACAAAAACATAAGCACACATATTGGGTAACATCAAAACATTAATGATTAAATGAGAATTGAAAAAAGTTCATACCTAAGAAAGCAGTAAGTCATAGTGGAAAGGTCATAGTTGTAGAATTATACAGATCGAGGTTTGTTTTCTGGCTCTGGTACTTATTAATGGTATGAACTTGGGAAAGTCAACTTTCTCAATTCAGTTTCTTCATCTGTAAAATGGGAATGGTGATATCTATGTCTTAGGGTTCATGGAAAAAATGAGGAAATACACTAACACACCTCATATAATCTGAGGCACATGGGAGGTAATCAACACATGATGACAGCTTTACTCATTTAAAGGTATTTTTTGAGGTTGTGAGGGTATAAACCATAGTTCTTATCCTCAACAATGCAGAATCTAACAGCAGAGTCATGCAGGTAAATAAAAAACTAAGAAATAATTTTATAAATATTATCGTAGAAACTTGGATTATGTTCTAGTGACTAATTCTGTTCTGGGTAGTTGAGGAAAGCTTCCTGGGGGAAATGGCATTTGCCCCAGTCTTAAAGATGAGTAGCAATTTTTCAAGTTGTCAGCCTGAATGAAGATAAGATACATGAAAACTCTAGAGTAAAGGCTGAATGGGGACAAGTCACAAAAATATAAACTGATAATTGGGTTGGAGTTAGATTTTGAGAGGCAAGATTTATTTTGCTAAGGATTTGCAATTTACCTCTAGGAAGTGGAAGCTATGGATAGTTTTTATGAATTTTAAACAAATGAATGCCTGCTTTAATTTGTTTTAGAAGGACCTGGATTAAAGAATAACTGGAGGATAGAGGATAAATTGACTATTGCCATAGTCCGTTGGAAAACACTAAGTGCCTGGGCTAAGGCAGTGATAGTGAGAACAGAAAGGGTAAAGCTGAAATCCCAGAGACTTTTCAGAGGTAGCTCATTAGAACTTGGTAATGGTTGGATATTGGAGATTAAAAAGATGGAAATTTTGATGACAGCTGTAATAGGTGTTGTGGACATAATTATCCATCTGACAGAAGAGGAAGAGCAGTTTTGTGAACACAATATTGGATTTAATATGGGTGGATTGATTTGAAGTGCTCAGGAATCATCCAAGTGGAGATGTGTGATGAATAGTTGTACATTTTAGTTTGGAGCTCAAGTCAGAGATGAAGATAATAGGTGAATGAACATAAATAATTATAACAGATGCCACCGTTGACTGAGTATTGATTATGTGCCAGTCATGATGCTAAAAACTTCAGTACATTATTTTATTTAACTCCATTAACATCTTCTTGTTTAACCTGGGAAACTCACAGAAATTAAATAATGATATGTAAAAAAAAGTCGATTTCATTCCTTAAAGGGAAATAATATAGGGTAATTTGAAAAGCTGTTAACTACAAGTAACATGAAGATAAACTCAAACTCTGGAATTTATTGATTCACATAATTGAATTGTCCAAAAATAGGGTAGGTCCAGTTGAAATTTAGCCTGAAACTGAATAATTATGTCTTTGTGAGAACCAGTTTCTACCAATTCCTGCTCTGCCTTCCATAGATTTTCTCTGATTGGCCAGGTTCAATCATGTGTTTACTGTCTCCCAACTAATTTGGCTAGAGGAACATAATGTGCAGACTCGCTTACACCTGACTTCATGTGCATCCTTGTTAACCAGCCACTGTAGCCAGGAAGGAGGAAGGGGTTATGATTATTGGAGAAGGCCTGGAAAGACCTATTCTTGCTTTGGAGATACCAGGTGTCAGTCCTGTTCAAATGTTAGGATTGGAAAAAGTTGAGTTCTTTTGTCAATAGCAAAGGCTGCTGGGGAAACAAATAACAGTATTCATTGAACAGAGTAATCAAGAAAGAGGATCAAAGATGGGATTCTGGAAAGGCATCATAGTTACAGAAAAGGCCAGAGCAGAGTGTCATTGCAAGAGAAAGAGAAAGAGTGAAGGAGCAAGAAGAAAACCAGGGAAGAGTAATGTCTCACATGCCAAAGAAAGGAGTTTCATGAATGTACTGGAGGCTAATTAGGCTAAAATTCCCTCAGAAAAGCCATTTGATACAGTTCTTAGGAACTAAGTGATTACTCAACTTTTCCAAAGCTATTTTAGGTAAGTGGAAATATAAGAATTTACTCTAATATAATGATAAGACCTCACTTGGTATTTTGCAGTGGTTTTCTCATGCTCTTGAGATAGTCTAGAGTTCATTTTTTTTTTCCTTTAGTGGAGGAAATATAGAGAGTCTGATCTCAGGCATATTGGCAAGGTGTTTGTTGTGGAGGGGCCTCTGGCTTTCTACACAGCAGAGGAGGCCCCTTAATGCCTTTGGACTGAACATGATCTCCAGCCCCACCCTAGGGTGTCCAAAGGTACTCAACCTATAGCTACACACTCCTTAGACACAAACACTCTCTCTAAGATTGAAGAGGCAGATTATATCCAAAGTGTTATCTACTGGGATTGTTCAGTGCAACTACAGATACATCATTGCTTTGTAGAAATACCATAGATTTGGGGAGGTATGGGCCCAACACATCTTGAATTTGAATATGACTTCTGATGCCAGCCATGTGACATTGGCCAAATTACTACATCCTTTTGAGGTTCAGTTTCCTGACAAGGAAGTGGGGAAGTTAATACTACCTTGAAAAGTGTTTATAATGTTGAATAAGACAATATATGCATATTAACTAGCACAGCGTAGTTGTTCAATAAATGCTGGTTATAGTCTCAGGTGTGTCATATTTATAGTTGCTGTTATTATCTGCCATAAAAAGGAGACAACATGAATAATGTTGTTAAGCACACAAGAATGGGAATCAAGTTGCTTAGGTTTGAATTCCATAAGCATTTTTTAGTAATTGTATGTCCTTGGACAGCTGTACCTCAGTTTCCTCATCTGTAGGCTAATGGTGATAACAGTGCTTTCTCGAAGGGTCTTAAGGAGGATTAAAAGATATGATACATACATTACTCTTAGGCAGCTCCTGTTGCTCAAATAAGTGAGCAGTAAATATTGGCTTTAATTGCTCTTCCAAAGGAGATGCTGGGAAGATTTGTAACTTTCAGAGACTATCTCAGAGTGCTCCACTTTCCAGGGCATGTCCTATTATGTGACCTCATCTCATGCGAGTGCTGGGGAGTTTCTCTGGTTATCTTTAGTCACAGTCCCACGAAGAGTCTATGATCTCCTGATAGAGCCACCTTCACCTTTGTGCCAAGTACTTCATATCCAGTATCCATCTCAGAGGGCTGCTGTAAAAAGTTAATGTCATAACATTTTGTGACCCACCAGATCTAGATAAGATTTAACTGGAGCTCCGCTGGACACACCCTAGAATTTCTAATTCTTCCTCAGATGGGGCAGAGTTTTGAATTCTCATGGTGACTCCGATGTTCAGCCTGTCACTTTTTCTGGATTTGCCCAGGAATGTGCACACTTTGGCCTTCTGTCTCAGGCTCTTGTCAGTTCTGTAATGTTTCTCTCAGAAACTCAGCCCCTCCTTGAATATCAGACCTGGGCAAGGGAGAGAGGGACGGATAGGAGAGGGCTGAGAGAGAGATTAAGCAAACACAGGATACTTGAGTGTGTAGAAAAAAATCACTGAATATTTGAGAGAACAAAAGAGGTATTCATATGGTAGTAATTTTTTAAATTTCTAATTAAATATTAGATATTCCTATTGTTCAGAGTTCTCATATTAAGGGACTTTTTCACTCATCATTTCACCTTTCAATGCCTACTAGGGTCAAACTATCCAGATGGTTTCTCTCTCTTCTTTCTTTTATCTCTCTTGTCTTTTACAACTTTATTGACCATACTCCCCCATAATTTCTCTTTTGTTTCTTTGGACTAATATACCCTTAGATTTTCACTTCCTCTAAAGTGGCTTACTAATCAAAGAAGTTCGAACAAAAGTTTTATCCTGTTACCTATAAGCCATACTTAGTCAAATTCTGGCACATAACATGATTAATGATTTTCCCAAGGGGAAGGGCACCGGCCATGGAATATATGGTTGTAAAATGTCCATGTCACTCTATTGCTTACTTAGACAGGAACTTTGAACAAGTTATTTTTAACCTCCTTATTCTCACATTCCTCATACATAAAATGAGATCTAAAATTAGTATCTACCTCGGAGGGTTGTCAGATAGTTTGCATGAAAGAATATGTAATTTGCTGGCATTATGCCTGGAAATACTTAACATTCAGTATTTGTTAATTATTATTAATACTCATGAAATCCATGCCAGTTCAGTAAACACACTTTCAAACCCTCAAACCATCACAATCGTATATATCCATGGCTCTCTTTACCAACTATTTCTGAATGAATAGTACAATTAAATTATGTTTTATATAGTAATATATATATAATGTATTTATATATACAACCCCCTAATACTTTTATATATTATATTTCTATATTACTATATATGAATATATTAAAATTGTATATTCTAATACATATATTAAATATGCTTTAATGTATTTATTTACTTATTTAATTCCTACATTTTTCCAATACATAAATATATATTCTAAAACACATATGCCTATATATTATGTATATTTACATGTCTTATATACATATCTTATTATTCTAATATATATAATATCCCAATGTATATTATAAAAATGTAATATATATATCCTAATAAATATCTTCTGTCTTCTCTTTACTGTCTATATTTAAATATACTTAAAATGTGCATAATATATTAGCATATGTAAATAATTTATGAGAAAAATATGCCTATATTAGAAGTGTGATGGAAATTTTTTACTGATATGATTTGAATTTTTTTTTTAAGTTTGAAAATCAATTTACAACTTTCTTGGCACATTAGTATTTAATTAGCTAGAGGATCCCAATTTGCCAGGTTTCAGCCAAACTCAGGATGAAAAGCAGCTGATATTTGGTACAGGAGAGTCACAGCATGAATACTACTTAAGCATAATAGGTATCTAAGATGGAGGGCTTTTATAATAATTATTATAATTATAGCTAATATATATTAAGTGTTTTATCATGCATCAGACATTGGGCAAGCCCTTTGCATATATTATCTCATTTAAACCTCATAAATGCCTATGGTTACTGTTAGAATTTATGTTTTACAGATGAGTAAATGAAGTCCCAAAGAGGTTGAGTAGTTTCACAGTTACAAAACTGCTAAGTAGTAAGGTCAACACTGGTGCTCATTCAGTCTGGCCATTCCATACGTTACAGTGACGACAGTCTGGTTTTAGTAAAGTCTCCGTCACACTGGACCTGATCCAATTTTTGAAATCTGTTCATGGGTCCAATCTTATTTGAGCCTCATAGTGAATCTAAGTTATATTAGCCCTCTATGGAAGCACTATGTCACAGAAATTGATGTGTCAAAAGCAGGGGCCCACTAGATCATTGGTCTGCAGACTCTTTGTATAATATTCTTTCTAATATATAAGCATTGCTTTCAAGGAAAGCTGAGTTGAAACATCAGAGACTTGATATTTGTCTGATGCTTACAGTTTAACTCCAAAGTCAGCGTGTGTCCCTCATATCTTTTGTTTCTGATCAAGTTATTTTAAATGATGTCTAAAATCTATGAGTTACATGATTCAAATTATTTGTGAACCATAAATTCCCTTCTGTTTGTGGCCACTAAAGTCCTTTCATTGAGTTATAATCTGTTGGATAAAGAAACAACTGTAACTAATTCCTTTCTGTAAAGTACGAAAGGAGATGGTTTTACTATACTTCTTTTCTGACTAATAATATTCATTTTTAAGCTCCAGCAAAAATACAAGCCTGTTCTACATCTTCATTAATAGGCACATTCACTGCAAAAAGAGGCAGTTATTTTATAAATGAATGTGTGATGGTGGTGTAGATGCACATATTTATCATGCCATGATTTCACAGCAAATATTTGCTGTGAAATAGGAAGCAGAAAAGGGAAGAATGTGTCCTTGTGCCTTCTGTAATTTATGACAGAGCTGAGGAGAGAGACTTGTAAAAAAAGTTTGAAAATTCCCTTGTCCAGTATTTCATGAGCAGCACAAATAAAATGGAAAGGAATGTACTTGTCTGGTTCACTTATCCTTAAAACTCTTTTATCTAAAATGGTGACATGATGCAAAGAACTTGTTTAGGGTTCGAATGATTAGGAAAATTGCATGAGTACTCCTCACAACGAGATTAGACCACAGCAAGTATTTCTTTTACAGCATGTGCCTTACCTCTCTAGTGTCTAGAGCAGGGGTTGGCAAACTTTCTGTAAATGAATGAACAGTAAATATTTTAGGCCTTATGGATCATAAGGTTTCTGTTGCTTTAAGTAACTCTGTTGCTGTAGCAGGAAAGCAGCTATAGAAATAGTTGATGGGTGGTGGACATAACTGAGATTGTGGCTACTCCTTGATTTACCTTGTAATAGTCAAATCATTCTTCAGGATCTACATGTATTTTTCAGGGGCCCAGACTAGCAAAAGAAATACAACTGTGAGAAGGACTCAATCCTGCTTCCTTTAAGTCTAATAATGTTTTAATGCCTCTGCCACCTTCCCTGGGATGTGAAGTTGATTTTAATTGACTGTCTTGTGATATTCTGCAGGACATCAGGGTACCCCAAGTCTCTTCACTATATTATGATGGAGAGGAGAAGTAATAGAAGTACATGCTCACAAGTACACATTCATGGATTGAGGAAATGAGTAGCCACAGTCTCAATATATCAAAAAAGATATTTTCCTAGAGTAAGACTGAACTAGTATGCAACCATTAATTTGGTGAATGTATTCCTTTCTACCCCATCAGAATTGAAGATCAGAAACAGTTGGCAGGTGTGGGCAACAGTTTCAGAGGCAATTACCCCCATAGGCTGAAGGCCCAATGTGGGGGTCGTTCCAATTGCCAAGAATGTCAATCACAAGTACACATTCAGGGATTGAGGAAATGAGTAGCAGGTGAGTTCATGAGCCCAGTGGACTCACTTTAATTTAGGCCTTGGGGAACATGCTTATACCTCAGATCTCCAGATACTGGTGCTCTTAAGACACTGTTCTACTTGCTCTCACAACTCTCATTAAGACTTGATTTAAGACTTCTTGACTGCCATTTAGACTTTGCCATTTTTTATAACAATTGTGACATCCTAATTTCTAGCAGTTAAGTCTGCCATCTAGCTTTTATTACTTTAGAACCCCACACTCCTTTACTATCAGTGAGCCAAGTTCCGTCACATTCTCCCCAACCATCTGATCTCGGAGATGTTGGTACCTCTCTCTGTTCAATGAATACTGTTTTCTAGGCTTCCGGTGAAACACAATTTTCTGCTGGGTATTCTGGCCTCCAATAATATATCATATCCAACTTACTCACTTAGGTGAGCCTATTTTTTTACCTTAAACTTTCAATTTTTGAATAGTTTTAGATATGCAGAAAAGGTACAAGGATAGTGCGGACAGTTCTCCTAACCCCCCAGCCAGTTTCCCCTACCGTTAACCTCTTACATTCCCATGCTACAATTGTCACAACTAACAAACCAATATCAGTACATTATTATTAGCTAAAATCCATTCTTTGTTTGGATTTCCTTAGTTTTTACCTCATGTCTTCTTTTCATTGCAGGGTCTCATCTAAAATGCTGCAGGGCATCACATCAACAGAACGTTCAGGTCCCTCTACATGGCGACAGCGCTCAGCCTTGCCTTGTTTCTCATGGCCTTTGATTTTAGGAGCACTTGTTTTATAGAATATCTCTATATTTGCATTTGACTGATGTTTTTATCATTGTTAGACTAAAGTCGAGCTATTTAGTCCCTTTCTTCACTCTATATCACAGCAATTCAGACACTTCAGCTTTACTCTTCATGGGCAATTCACAGGCAATTCATTGCTTCTGTCTTCTAGAAACCACATTAGTAGTGAATTTTCGCCAGTCCGTGGGGTCCTTGATATCTGTAGGCAGTTTAATTAGTGGGGCTATGAGAAAGTGAAGATTGTATTTTAGGAAGCAAAAGACCCCAGAAAATACAGGCATACCTTGGAGTTATTGCAGGTTCAGTTCCAGATCACTGCAAACACAGTGAATATTACAATAAAGTGAGTTAAATGAATTTTTGGTTTCCGATGCCTATGAAATTATGATTATACTATAATGTAGTCTATTAAGTGTGTAATAGCATTATGTCTAAAAAATGTACATACCTTAATTTAAACATACTTTATTGCCAAGAAATGCTAACCATCGTCGGAGCTTTCAACAAGTCATAGTTTATTGCTGGTGGAGGTTCTGGCCTTGGGTGCTAATGGCTGCTGACCGATCAGGATGGTGGTTGCTGAGGGTTGGGGTGGCTGTGGCCATTTCTTAAAATAACACAGCAGTGAAGTCGGCCACATTGATTGACTCTTCCTTCCATGAATGATTTCTCTGTAGCATGCAATAATGTTTGATAGCATTTTACTCACAACAGGACTTCTTTCAAAATTGGAGTCAATCCTTTCAAAACCTGCTGCTGATTTATCAATTAAGTTTGTGTAATATAAGTTATAAATCCATTGTTGTCATTTCAACAATCTTCAAAGCATCTTCACCAAGAGTAGATACCATATCAAGTGATGACTCTTTGCTCATCCACAGGAGCAACTATTTATCCATTCAGTTTCTCATGAAATTGCAGCAATTCAGTCCCATCTTCAGGATCCACTTCTAATTCTAATTCCTTTGCTATTTCTTTTACATCTATAGTTACCTCTTCCACTTAAGTCTGGAACCTCTCAAAGTCATTCATGAGGGTTGGAATCAACTTCTTCCAAACTCCATGAATGTTGACATTTTGACCTCTTTCTGTGAATCATTAATATTCTTAATGGCATCTAGAATGGTGAATCCTTTTCAGAAGGTTTTCAATTTACTTTGCCCAGATTAATCAGAGGAATCATTATCTATGGCAGCTGTAGCTTTACAAAATGTATTTCTTAAATAATAAGACATGAAAGCCGTAGTGACTCCTTGATCTGTAGGCTGCAGAATGCATGCTGCGTTAGCAAGCATGAAAACAACATTAATCTCACCATCCATCTCCATCAGACCTCTTAGGTAACCAGGTGCATTGTCGGTAAGAAGCAGTATTTTGAAAGGAATCTTTTTTTGTGTGTAGCTTATCTCAACAGAGGGCTGAAAATACTCAGTAAACTATGTTGTAAAAAATTTTCTGTCATCCAGGCTTTGTTGTTCCACTTACAGAGCACAGGCAGAGTAGATTTAACATAATTCTTAAGGGGCCTAGGATTTTCATAATAGCAAATGACCATTGAATTCAACTTAAAGTCACAGCATTATCCCCTAACAAGAGAGTCAGCCTGCCCTTTCAAGCTTTGAATCTAGGCATTGACTTCTCTCTAGCTATGAAACTCCTGGATGGAAAGGCTGTCTCATCCATATTGAAATTCTGTTGTTTGGTGGAGCCACCTTCCTTAGTTATCTTAGCTAGATGTTCTGGAAAACTTCCCATAGCCTCTACAGCAGGACTTGCTGCTTCACCTTGCCCTTTTACATTTTGCAGGTGGCTTCTTTCCTTAAACCTCATGAACCAAACTCTGCTAGCTTTAAACTTTTCTTCTGTAGCTTCATCACCTCCCTCAGCCTTCCCAGAACTGAAGAGAATTAGGGCCTTGCTCGGGATTAGGCGCTGGCTTAAGGGAATGCTCTATTTGGTTTGTTCTTCTATCCAGACCATTAAAACTTTCTTCATATCAGCAATAAGGTTGTTTTACTTTCTTATCATTCGTGTGTTCCCTGGAGTAGCACTATTTATTTCCTTCAAGGACTTTTCCTGTACATTCACTGCTTGGCTAACTGTTTATACAAGAGGCCCTGCTTTCAGCCTAGCTTGGCTTTCAACCTGCCTTCCCCACTAAGCTAAGCATTTCTAGCTTTGATTTAAAATGAAAGACATGAGACTCTCCCTTTCACTTGAACACTCAGAGGCCATTGTAAGGTTATTAATTGGCCTAATGTCAATAATCTTGTGTCATAAGGAATAGGGAGGGAGAAAAATGGGGGAACAACTGGTCAGAGGGGCATTCAGGGCACACACATTTATACATTAAGTTCGCTGTCTTATATGGGGACAGTTCATAGCGCCCTCACTTCCAGAACTACAGCAATAACATAAAAGATCACTGATCACAGATCCCCACAACAAACAGAATCATAGCAAAAAAGCTTGAACTATTGAAAGAATTATCAAAATATGACATAGAGACATGAAGTAAACAAATGCTGTTGAAAAAATGGTGCCAATAGACTTGCTTGATACAGAGTGGCCACAAACCTTCAATTTGAAAAAAAAGAAGCAGTTTCTGTGATTCACAATAAAATGAAGGACAATAAAATGAGGTACGCCTTTATTTGGGTTCATCATGCAGTGTGTATCCTTCTGACTCATACAGAGTGAACAGGTCCTCCACAAAGCTGCACTTCTTTCCTTTCTGTAGGCTCTCTCCCATGGGCTGGTGTTTGGAAAGGTTGCATAGTATGTCCCCTCAATTAGCCTTCAATTCCTTGGGAAAAATAGGATGTGAAGTCAACTTAAAGAAAAGTTTCATCCAAGATGATTCAGAGCCTTAAAATGCTGAGAATGTTTTTATTCTAACAAGATTATTTTTTCCTCTACACTTAATGGCTATTCCCTTCAAAGGAAACTCATAGCTCATGAGGTCAATGAATTTCTGCTAAATTTCCATCTTATACTCATGAACCCGTGATCTTTGGTATAGATAGGTAACAACATCTTATAACCAGAAAAAGCAATGATTAACAAAAAGACAAAGTCCAAAAATAAATCTTTAACTGAAGGAAAAATAGTCCTGGTTGTGTGGAAATTACTAAGTAAAAAGTCTAAAAAATTTAATGAAGGTTTTCTTAACAGTTGTTTGCTTATAAACTTTATAACCTTGGTAATAAGATCATTTATTGAGTTATGCTTTATTGAATCCCATTTGTGTCTGGTACTGCATTAATTATTTTCACTACTTATTTAATCCTCACAACTACCCTTCATTATGTTATTCCCATTTTACAGTTGAGGAAACTCAGTCTCAAGGTCTTCATAACTTTCTTCAAGATTGTAGTGTGGAGCAGAGCTTTCAAAGAACACAGATTTGACTAAAGCCATGATCTACCCACCATGATACACTCTTTTTTTTATTATTATTAAAGTATCATTGATATACAGTCTTATGTTGGTTTCAAATATACCGTGTCTTCTTAAAACTAAATATTTATAAGATCACTAGTTGTTTTTCAAAAGCCCCTTTCTCTTTGTTTTGTTTTGTTTTGGTTTGGTTTGTATTTCATGCCAGATTTGCACATGCGGTTGGTTACTTGAGACCAGAACCCTTTAATCAAGAATAAGATTTAATTTAGGGAAGAAAATGTCAGACATACAATAAATGGACTGACAGAGCCATACTTCTTAAAAATTGAACTGCTCCTCTTGAGCAGAAACAGTGTCAGTTGATTCTTAGGAGGAAATTATATAGAAGCTCCTAAATGTAACACACAGACAAAACCAAATACAAATGTTTCTGTTCTCAGGTATTATGAGGTTTACTTGCTCTCCTGTTTTTCCCATTGATAGTGAAGTCAACTTTAATCCTCTGGGCACTTGGGGAATTTTCATGCTCTGTTGACTAAAAATAAACTCATTAAGTCTCCAGGTTTAGTGGCAGAAATCAGACCTCGAGAGCTTGTCAGTTGTAGTGTGGAGGTTTCGTCCACATGGGTGGGAATGCTGTGTGGGAGGGTGCTTTTCCACAGGGTGTTGGAGGTTGGGTCCCTTCTTGATCTCAAGCATTTCCACAGTGGAGACATTGTCAGGGAGTGGGGGCTGGAAACCAGAACATTCTGGAACCTCCCGTGGTCAGAAACAAAGAACCAGACACTAGCCTTAAAGTTTCCCTGGGGCAACTGTATGTATGAAGTTGGCTGAATTTATTCTCCCTTCCCAGTGCCTTACAGTGTCCCTTCAATTAGCCTTCAATTTCCTGGGAAAATAGGATGGGAAAAGTTTCATCCAAGGTAATTTATAGCCTGTAGAGAGAGGATTTGCTTGGGATAGCCTCAGTGTCTGTCTCTGGCCCACTATCACAGTACCCCCCTTTCCACTGCCAGTAAAGGTGATGAATCACAAATTATATGATGTCTTCATTTATAGATGACACTCCCATCTTTCCATCTCCACACCCCTACCATATAACAGGCATCTTAGGAGTATGAGCCAGGTTCCATTTGCCCCTGCGTACTTCCTCAGCACTTAGCTTACACTCCACAAACACTTGTTTTATTAAATCAATTACCATATTAATACTCCCATAATAAAAAAAGAAGACAATCAATATGTATAGAAAAACTACTGTGAGGTACACACTGTTCTAGACACTGATTTATTTAAATTACCTCTTTTGGTGCTCACACCTACCCTACAAAGGATTCCTTTTAACTAAAGAGGAAATTCAGAGAGATCAAGTAATCAGACTGAGTTGTATAGTTAGTAAATAATGTAGCAAAAATGTAGTTTGGGTCCATTTGATGTCTAAGCTCAAGATTCTATTATTATTCTCCTTGCCTCCCTCTGATTGCATATGTCAGTATCCTTCTATGATGCTTTCATGATTTATAATATATAGTAGTATGGAAAACTCAAAACAACCTTTGGGTAGGTAGGACCACCTTCATTTAAACAAAGGTGTTTTGTTTGTTTTGTTCAATGTCACACTGCAGATCAATAGTAGACCTCAGTGTCACGCTGCAGATGAGTAGTAGATTCACTTCTTTTCACTTCCGCTCCCAAATTCCTTTGTTCTAATAGCTAAGAATACCAAAATGGGCAAACAGTTCACTTGGTGATATCCTCAGCATCCTAGGATTAATTATGCCCTCCTCACTTCATCCCAACCCTCTTTCCCCAGGGATACTATACACAATCTTAATTTACACATGGTGAATTCTTAAAAATAGTACATTTATTTGACTTGCAATATATTTCCTTAAAATTGTTCTGAAAAGTGCTATGATTAAAAACTTCAAAGTATATCTTTCTCAATTGGTAATTTTTGCTACTAACTCATGCCTTCCCATTAGAAAAACCTGTTATCCCAGCCAGATTTCACAGGCCTTAAGCAAAGACTAATAATTTGAAAAGACACTTGGTAGGGGCAAGCAGTAGGATTTTAAGCTTGAAATGTAGCAGGTGGACACATATAAAACTCTCATCCATATAGCCATTCCCATACATAGATACATTTTAAAACAAGTGGAAATTAGCTTCTTCAACATATGTTTGTGCCAGGGGCAATGATATGTAAATGTTTTTTCCATAAACCTGTCTTTCTAATCCTCTAGAATTTTTAAAAACAGTGCATAGCAAGATCCCTTGCATATGTGACTTCTTACACATTCTTCTCCAAGTGCCGGTTATTATGATATGCACTAAGTTTTTTTATTCCTCCAGGGGGCTGAAATAATGCTAATTTGGGAGAGTTAAAATATTTACAAAATGGACCACCCACTTGTTTTCTGGAGTATAAAAATGACAAGAAGTTACTTAGGTGCTATAATGTCTGCAATATCCACAGTATCACAAAACAAACTCAGTTGTAGGCTTGCCTGACAGATTTCAGCTGAGTGAGAATTTTTAGCACATTTATAAAGATATCCCAATCCCAAGAGAGAGAAAAGAGAGACATAAAATACACAAAATGATAAATTACATCAATGCAATGAAATT